GATTCATTAATCGACATCTTATCACTTCCTTTCTTCGTCGACGTCGCCATTTTCTTCGCTGCGATTTCGCGTTGCTAATAAAGATAAGAGAGCGCAGCGCGTTCTCACTTCTTAAATGTATCTCCGAGAAAACCATTAACTTGTTAAATGCGCTTCCTTCAGTCCGTTTAACGACTTTTGCGAAGTGAAATCAAATCGCGGCCGATAAATGTGGAGGAATTACCTTGAAAAGGGGGTTAACTCTTCTCTTTCCTTTTTTTTTTTTTTTTTTTTCCTTCCTTTCTTTTTTTTAAACCCTTTTTTTTAGATTATCCGTTCTTTGCTGTCTACTTCTGAAACATAGAAGGAGGCTATTAAAGTTTATAATTGTAAGAAAATTTTCATATGTTATGGGTAAATAAGTGCTTTTCTGTAGTTTGGCAGCTATTTGATTACTATTATGTAGTTTTTTGTGAAATTTTTATGTTCTGCAGAGCGTGGTGTTTTACGAAGAAACTATTGAATAAAGATTCCTCTGTAATTATTATGTCCCCTGCCGAGTCAAAGCTGATGCTTGAATATAAACATAATTGTCCTCCAATTTGGTTCTCATTTTCTAGAAATTTAATAAGAGGTATTTGGGTTCTGTATTTGGTAACGAAGTTATAATTTTAATTTTTTCAACGTAGATTTGCTGTACACTAGTGGGCGATATTAGGAAAATTTGCACATTATGTAGAATTTCTGAAAGACTAGTGGATAGATTTTAATGAAATGTGATATAAATATACATTTATAACAGAGCAAGAGATGTGCCATATGAAAATCATTTTATGCACACATAACTATCAGTAAAGCTCATAATGCTGGGAAATCTAAAATCCATACTGTGATATCGAACTGAAAATAAGTCTTATATGGGGTAAAGACCCCTCTCACAGCCAGGTAGGCTGCATACCATGGCTACTGGGCAGGGTGCAAATGAGAAGTTGATTTCACTACTGCAGTAGATTCTGTGTCAGTCGATCTCTTTCCTGCAGCAGTTTTCAACTCTGGAATGGTTCTCATAGGAAGAAGGCGAAATAAAATTGCCCTTCCGAGAGCGTCCAAGACATACTCTATAGGATTAAGGTCAAGGGATCTGGCTGGTGAATCCATATGGCGAATATTCTCATTTTCAGGGTAATCGTCTACCAGCTGAGGCCTATGTGGGCTAACGTCGTCGTCTATTAACAAGAACCCAGGACCAACTACGTCCTTGAAAAGTCTAACATTTCCTTTCGATACCTCTTAGCAGTAAGGGAGCCTTTGTCAAACACATACAGGGGTATGCGACCATCCAGTATAATGCTTGCTCTAACCATTAGACCTCCACCACCGTAATGATCCTTTTCCGTTATGAGGAAAGAATGGTATCGTATTTCAGGCTTTCTCCAGATATAGGTACGCCGAGAATCAGTATCCATGTTTAATCTAGACGAATCTGTAAAAAGCACTGTGCTTCACTGAAATCTGGTCCAAGGCGCATATTGCCTGCACTATGCTAAACACACTATCTTGTTAGTTAACAGGCCTCAAACAGCGGGTCTTCTGGCATATAGCCCTATCTAACGAAACCTTTTGGCAACTGTAGACCATGAAACTGGGGATCCAATTTTAACATACAACTCACATGAGAGCTGTGAATCTGTAGCAGTTTTCCAATCTATCTGCCTCTAGTCTACCGACCAATACCCGATAATTCCTGCCTCCAAAATATCGACATTTCTCCATCTCATTCCATGAACTGTAAATCCGTGACTACTCATTTTACGTGATATTTTATAAAATTTAACGAACTCTTGCGATAAACAGGGTGAATGTCGTGAAGGAGTACGAGCACACAAATCGCCGAAAACTCCTCTTGCGTTTATATCACCTCCACAACCACAGCTCCTCAGACAAGCACGTGTGCCCTTACGTGTTCGACTTTTCGTGAATATTTGGGTAATTCTTCCCGGCAGCATAATTAGTGCCTTTGGTTCAATACTTTTCGTAAACATAGACATAATTTGCAAATTCCCTTAATTTTGCATAGGAGTGTGTATTAAAATAACACAGCAGTATTTTCAGGTAATACTTTCAAACAGTAACCGTAGATAATAATGAATGTTGCATGTAATATGAGTATTCATATAACTTGCGTAAATACGGAGACATTAGAATGACGGAATATTCATAATCAAAGCCTGCTAAAGTTAAAAAAATATTAAAGTGGTTTATATCCTGAAATATGCATTTACAGTATATTTTCTGAATCTGTTGCACTTACAAAATCATGGAGTTCTCGTATTTCAGCTCAAGAGAAGATAAAGCGGTACAAAGGAACTGTACCAGTGCAGTGTAGTATCATATCATCAAGATATGTGAAAACGATAAAACTCAGGCGTTTTATCAAAGCCTGCATTGGCAGTAAAAAAGCAGTCTTGATCGCTTACGTGTGTTAAAATTCGTGATCATTGTTTATTTTTTAAGAATTTTAAAATCTTAAAACCTTTGGGGTTTCTAATAAACCATGGATTCTCAATTTTCGAATACGAGGTCATAAATGTATTAGTCTCTTCATTTTAACTTGATGGTTTATTCAGTTTTAAATTGATTACATCCATTTGCAATCTACGTAAATGTGTTTTCAAACCATTGCCAGTTTTACCGAACAAAGTATTTACCATAGATCTTTTTAACTGCTTTAATTTAATTAGTTTCATGAAATGAAGTCATACCATGGGTAAATTACCTATACACTATTTTTCATTTCATCTTCTGGTAGACTACCAAAGTCCAGGTTTTCAATTTTCAGCGTTTATTAAGCTAAATATTTTTCAGCATTAAATTAAATTTATCATATTAATGAAACTGCATTTGAGAAAATTTTATTCCTCCTGCCTTTAATTATATTCACCTGGATTTTTCTTTTTCAGTCTTACATGATCTAAATTATTGTCTTAATCTTTATGTTTTAACCTTTTTATAAAGATTCAACAAATATTTAATCAGTTAAATATGCATTTAAATTTGTTTTACATCAATAAATTATACATTGCTAAATTTACCCACGCAAGACATATACTTTAATTATTCATTTTATTGTCATCACGTTAAAATTACTTGGAGAAGTAAAGAAAACGGGTAAGAAAGTTTACAAAATGAAGTTAGCTAAAGAATAATTTAGAATTCAGACTGTCTAATTAAATATTAATACATTTTGCATTAGAATCATACTATTAATAATTCACTAAGCCGAATCATGCATTATGCATTGAATTTAAGTCAATTTAGAGTTCTTTTGAAATGGCGTTGCCGCGCAGCTCAAAAACCTAAAGTGCTGCTGTAATAGTAAGCTGAAAAGATAATTTGCTATTATGCACACTAACTAAACTCTTAACTAAGACTGAGTAGCGACTTATTGTTATGACTTGGAGACAGTATTACAAACACGAGCAAAGGATGTAAAAGACTCTTTTTTTATTAAACTAAAAAAAAAAAAAAAATAAATAAAATAAAATAAATAAAATAAAATAAAATAAAATAAAATAAAAATGTGGAACAGATGGCACTCTTAGTGCTAAAACTCAGCGCGCATTTATGGTTATAAATGAAAATAAAAATTTCAAATTTTGAACTACGACGTTGTAGAAATTACCTAAAATGCTACACTGAGATATTGAATGCGAAAGCAGGCCCTTTTACATACACCGGCGTGAAAAACGCTATCAGCAACAATAATTAACGACGTAGACAGAAGCGCTTATCTTAAGATAGCAAACTAGTAACGTGTCTTTGAGCAGCTAGAACGCGCTCTATCTAAGCAATCTAAAACATTCCTTTAAGTACGTAAAAAAAGGTATTTCCTAAAATTCTTTTAATTACATTTTTTTTTTTTTACCTCATTTATATTTTGATAGGGAAACTGAAACAGAGAGTGACAGGAAAGATCTAAAACATAACTGGTTAGTAAAAAGTAATACTAACTCCCTTATAATCTTTATAATTATTTCTTGCATTTTAATGTAGAACTCATTTTAAATTTGATTTCGGTCGGAGGGAAAATTATATATATATATATATATATAATTTCACTTGTAATTGTTTATATTAGTTTCAAATGATTTCATAAAGTAGCATAAGCAAATTATTCTTCATTTTAGAGCAGAGTTTCTTAAACTGGGACCCGCGGGACCTGCAGCAGGGGTTCATCAAAAACTTAAGCAGTTTTGATATTTCTTTAACTTATTATAATAATTTTACAATTACCAAATATTTTTACACACTGTATCTGAAAATAGATAAAGAGAAGATAATACAGACAAAGAGAAAAACGAAAACGTTTCGACGCATTCTTTTTGTAATATAAACGTTCATTTTCCTTGCTTTACACTCTCTTTTCGTATGTTACTTATTTAAAATTTGCACACTGTTCTATGTCTTAAAATTAGAAATTAAAGTTAATGACCTAAAACTGCAATAGTATATTACATTACAAGTGAAGAAACTGATAGTTTCACTCACGCGTGTGTCGGATTTGCGCAATGCTTATGGGGTGCCACAAAATTTTCGTAAATATTATGGAGTCCTGGGATCGCAAAAAAATCTCACTCCCCATAAAAAAAGGGTCGCGACTGAAAAAAAGTTTAAGAAGCCCTGGTTTAGAGCATTCATAAAAATGTTACTTTATTGTAGCTAAGATGTATATTTCATCATTTTAGAGGTTGTTGCTATTAAACAGGAAAAAGTAATGGAATCTTAATTTCTGCAAAATGTCGTGTCTGAGAAATGAGATTTGCTCATATTTTTATATGAGCATACTCAAGTAGTCTATATAATTCAAACCCAATAAGTCATTTTGTTTCTCCTCGCTTATCCTAAAGAATTTTTAAATGAAAAGCGAGGCTTATTGTATTCTAGTAGTGATATATATATTGTATTGTGTGTGTGGGTATGCCATTTCTCGCCGTCTATTTACGTCTTTATTTCATTTTCAGGTCCCGGACATGATCCGATCCATTCCGCCCACAAAGGTTCACGCATTCCGACAGCAGACACAGGTTCTGTGGGATAACTATTTTTCTTCAGTTGAGAAGATAGTTAGTACCACTTTCGAAGTAAGTATTTTCATATCCTAATTACAGTTCAGCGTTTAAAGGCCTTTGATTTTCTCCAAAGAAAAAGAAGGAAGGCTTCTGCTATAACGTGTGATTTGCTAAGATTAATTTCAGTTGACACATGGCTTGTGGCATTTTGAGTGTAGGGTTTGTTGCACAGTTGTCGCCATAGGTGGTCAGCTCACGTATGTAGCATGTTTAGTAGACCAATATTCTTCTGTCGTTTTAACCGAGTAATCTGTGATTCAAAATTTATGTTTGAAGCAGAGCGAATTTGAAAGCTGGATGAAAGGCATATATAAGCGATTTGTTAAAATCTACTGTAGGTATAACTGTGATGATAATTTAGGAGAAAAATCTCGATTACCAGAAAGTGTTTAAAAAATAATGAAACATATAAATTGGTTACTACAATTCTTCATTTGTTCCATTTTATATAATTTCTGTATAAATATTTATTTTGATGTCGCAGTTGTGTTCATAGATAGATTTATTTTAGACTCATTTTGTACTAAATTGTTAGTCTCCCATCAAAATAAATAAAATGAAATGATTTTTTTTTATTTTTATATCTGAATTCGTATTTTTTAAGCAAAACATGATTAACAACCATTTGCCCAATAAGTCTTTTTTTTTTTTTTTCAACATTTAAAAATTATTCAATCTGTTTTATTGTGTAGTTTAAATGTCAGTTAGTAATGCAGTAATAAGTTAGATCGTAACAGCAGTGCAAAGTCATTTTCGTGGCAATAAGGTGGTCTCGAAATACGTTAAGAACTTACTTTAATATATGTTGGAATAGTTACTCATATTATACTTTGAAATATTTTAGAACTTTCTAAAGCGAACGAAGGAGTGATGGGTGCATGTATTTAAGGAATGGATGATGGATTTCTCTATAGTTTTGCATTAGTTTCTTTTTCATATTGTTAATAAATTCAGTAAAATGAATGGAACGTAGATTAATTACGAAGCAGATGGTCATAACAACTTTCTTAGCTATTCTTATAGAGACATTTAAAAGAGAGGGTTTTTTTTTTTTTTTTTTTTTTTTTTTTTTTTTTTTTTTGTAGATAGGTCAGAACCATATGAATCTGAAATAATCAAGCTAATCGCTGGAGTTACTATAAGAATGGGTTTTAAATAAAGGTAAATCCATCGTAAATCTTTTTTTAAGACTATCCTTCAAATGAGAATTTAATCGATTTTCCCAAAACATTAGAGGAAACGTAAAAACATAAAGCAAATTTAAGATCCCCCTTTTTTAATGGTTTAGGGGAAATTCTGGTAAAGCCCTTATATGTGAATGAAATCTTTAACTGTTTAAGTAGTGCAAAACTTCAAGTGAACCTTATCCACAAGTATATAAATTTAATTAAGATCTATGATCGTGCAGCGGATGTGTAGATATGGACATGAATTACTGTGAGCAATAAAATTCTAGAATACTTAACTCGTTTAGGCCTAATCAAATTTTTCCACCAACTTGGTATCAATGTTAGTAATTGAAAACAGCTTACCATGAAGTTAACTGATAGGAAAGCGCACAACCGCACTTTTGTCAGAAGAGCTTCAGTCAGTTCTTGCATTTAAAATTTATGATTGTAAAATGTATTGAAAATTACATAAGATATTCTTTCTTTAGTTTACATAATTGTAATATTTAAAGTATAATTATGAAATTACTAAGCCATTAAAATTTGAAAAGAAACAATTGTACATGTATTGGCTAAAATTGAATTCTTAAACACTCACTAAAAATTTTCTCGAAGTGTCTGCCGAATTTTTGAAAATTTGTCTTTCATAAAGCGTAGCTTTCGCTTTCCTTTTTCTTGCAAATATGGACGTAAAAGGGCTTTAATTTTAAAAACATGTTTTGAATATTAAAATTCGTCAAAAGAATTTCTCTTGTTACAGATGATTACAGAAAGCAATTTAATTGGTCCGTATATACCTAAAATGAATTGAATAAAACTGTAAGAATAAGTTTCTTGCCACATATAGATGCTCTATGTGAGTTTTGTCACGCGACAAGCAGCCAATCAATAGTTTCTTCAATAGACACACGTTCAAACATATCCGATGTGACTGACATAGATAATTTGGATTTTAAGTTTACCAAGGACGCAGATAAACAATATCTTTGATATACTCTTCCATCCTTCTTAAAACAATTCGCAAGATTGAAGAGGTGCCAATGAATTTGGAGACCAAGTGAGGAACGCAATGTCGTCTTCTTCTTTGAACGTCTGTTGACTGATAGTACTGATTTCACATAGTAATCTGTAAAGTGTGATTAGAAACTTGGATTGTTAGAGTTCTCTTTGATGTATCGTAGGTTAATGTATACTAATTGCATTTTTGTTTTTCTGTTTTTTCCTCTAATAATTCTTTGTAACAGAATGATTCTTTTTGACTTACCTTGTAAATATTTCGGGTATCTTGGTATTCGGATTCATTTTGCCATTACCAATTCATCTAAAAACAAATTGTTACATATTGATAAAGGGATACATATTAGCTGGAAAGAAATTTTGTCAGTTGCTTTACTCTTGACATTTTATTTCTTATATATCTACGGCGCATTCAACCTTCATAATGCCCACCCACTTTTTTTTTCCCCTTGCGGAATAATCTATTTGATTGCTTTGGTAGATAAAGCGAAAAGAAAAATGCAGCTGTAAGCGCATTAAGCGGCGATTCTTTTTTCCCTTCTAGAAAAAGTAAAAAATTCTAATCGAAAACGGTGAGAAACCTTGACCTGTTTCTTTTCTTTGTTTTCTTTCCATTTCTTCACTGACTTAGCTTTTCATCATTGACTGGCTTAGTTCTAACCCTGTAGAACTGCTTTTCCTGCAGTAGGACTAACTGCGCAGATAAAAACCGCTGTCAGGTATTTCGAATTAAAAGGTTTATTGCCTGAGAAATGGTTAATTTTCACTACATTTACTATTTCCATTGTTATTTAATGAAATTACCTTTCAAATAACATAAAGATTACTAAGATTATAAAATTACAAATAAACATTTAATTATGTGGAAACTAATTTTCGTGTTACTACGTTGTATTCCCCCCCCTGTAAGTTACTTTTAGTAGTGACGTAATATTTTTCAGAAAATGTAAACATCGTTAAGTTTTATATCAGATTAGAATTGTTTAGTTAATAACTATATAGCAGTAGGATTTTTAGCCCAAAGGAGCGTTAGTCTCAAATAGAATATAAGTATCGAAGGAATACGTTTTCTAGAAGGAAGGAAAAAAAGAATCAACTTTGAATCGCGTATCACCTTTCAAATTGTTTCCGCCAAATTATCGCCCTGTATTATATTTAAAGAAATTAAGTAATGAGAAATCTGCATGTGTGTATATGTGTTCCTCCTATTGAAAGAACATATATTTTTTCTTATTCGTATTAAGCTGTGTAAGATAAACTGATTCTTTTATACGCGTTTGAATTTGTTATTATTATTTTTAGTCCAAAGGGATTTGAATCCCGAAGGACTATTAGTTTCGTTTTGGCATTTTGCGTCGGACTCATAAATGTCGGTTCACTTTTCAAACTGTTGCCACAAAATGTTAGAGTCCTGCATTATATTTGAAGAAATTAAATAATGAAAAATCTGCATAAATGTATGTATATTTCTCGTATTGTGATAAAACAACGGTACATAGAGTCATCGAATTTTGAATAACGTAATCCTCCAACGAATATGAGCATGTGGAAGACCAAATTTGAAATTTGAAATTTGTTTTATGATCGATTTCCTATTTTTTAAAACTTTGACGAATTTTTGATTAACAAACTCAAGGATTTCAAAGCGAGCAATGGCAACGTTGTGTGCAGAAAAAACATTTTTATCTCCAGCGCGTGAGTCTCTGTATCGTATCGGAAATTCTAAAGATATGCTCGTTTTTAAAACTATTTTGCGATATTGCTGTTGCACTGGATCTTATGGTTTAAGTGCGAGGAACATTATATTTAATAAAGAAAGGTAACACACAAAATGTTAAAAAACGCCCCTTTGGACGTAATTTAAAATCTGAAATATTTCAGATTTTTTTTTTTTTTTTTTTTTTTTTTTTTTTAAGTCTAAAGGTGCTTTGTCCCTGAGGGAATATTGTTTTCGTTTTAGATTTTGCGTTGAAACACTCTAAACGGCTGTATCACTTTTCAAACTGTTGCCACCAACTATGATCGCCCTGTATTGTATATGAAGAAACTAAATAATAAAGAATCTGCATAACTGTATGTATGTTTCTCGCACTGTGATAAAATAACGGTACCTAGAGCCATCCAGTTTTGAATGACGTAATCCTGCTGCGAATATGGGCATCTGGAAGCTCAAATTTGAAATTTGGAATTTGTTTTATTATCGATTTTATGTTTTGTAAAACTTGAACGAATGTCTGATTAACAAACTCAAGGATTTCAAAACGAGCAATGGCAGCGTTGTACAGAAATAATATTTTTATCTTCAGCGCGAAAGACTGATCGGAAATTCTATAAAGATATGCTCAATTTAAAATTATTTCGCCATATTGTTCTTGAACTGATATTTATGGTGTAAGTGAGAAGAACGTGATATGAAATATAATTTAATATCACGTTATAATATATATTTAATAAATAAAGGTAACAGACAAAATGTTAAAAAAAGTCCTTTTGGAACTAATTTAAAATATGAAACATTTCAGGTTTTTATAATTATTATTATTATTATTATTTGCTTGAAAAATCATCTTCCAAATTGGTTTACTGAAGTTTTGTTGCTATAGTAGAAGAAAAATACATGCAAAACATTGTTAGAGTGTTTATTAACAGTCATAAAACACTGATAATAGTTTCCGTTGTTCATTCAGTCTTATTATTTCTTTAATTTTTCTTGTCACTCTATTGGGTTAACATCTTTCCTCAAGCAAGAATTTGTGTAAGTGTTAATTTAATTATTTAATTCTGCAAGGCAAAAATGGAATGAATGGTAAGATCGCATTGCCCGTT